CCCTGGGTTAATGCACCAGACTGTTTAAACTGCAAGGTTGACCTTATCCGGGGTCGCTAAGGGTTGGAACTGACTTGATGGCACTTAACAACAACAACCCTCTCCAGAGTCCTGGGGTGGCTTTGTAGGCTAATGTGCCAGACTGCAAAGTCATTTGAACTGCAAGGTCGGTGGTTCAAGCTAACCAGCTGCTTCTCGGAAACCCTATAAAGGGTCACTATGGGTAGGAACCGACTCGATGGCACTTAACAACAACAACAACAACCCTCTTCAGCCTGCTCTGTCTCTCTCCCTCTCTCACAGTCCTATTCCAGTCACACTAAACATCTTACTAGCTCCTTTTGTGCCTCTGTAACTAGAATGCTATCTTCCTACTCTCCCCTTGAGCAAACTCCTACTTGTTCTACCAGATTCAACACAAATGTTTCCTCCCAGGCAATCTCCTCCTCCTCTCTGGTGGCAGGACCAGGGAGACCCTCCATGCAATTGTAACACTGTTCTTACCCTCATCAATTTCTTATGTCACTGGGTTGAGTTTCCATGTGTGTGTCTCCTCTTTTTAGAGAACAGAGTCTAATGCTGACTTACCCTTGTATCTGCAGTTGCTGTAGTTGTTGTTAAGTGCCACTGAGTCGGTTCTGACTCATAGTGACCCTGCAAAGAGGTTCTGAGGAGCGGCCGGTGGGTCTGAACTGCTGACCTCATGGTCCAGTGCTTATCCTACAATGCCACACCAGGACTCCTATATCTGCAGTACCCCACATAACTACCCTATATACCTCCTCAACATACACAGGACTCCTGTGTATCCCTTTACACATAAGTCCACATTACATGCCCCATTTACACAGATTCCTCTCTGTACGGGCTCACATTCCTCTCCAGGCCCCAGCGTGTGTGGGAGGTAGAGTGGGAACTGAACCAATGAGATGCAAAGGAAATAAGACAGAAACCTGGCACAAAAACCCACCTCTCGCAAGTCCTCCAACCCGTACTCCACAGCCGCCGTCAGCACTTCCAGTACCTACAGAGTGGGTGGTTGGAAAGCAGAAGGGAGTTTCCCCTGCCCTTCAGTGCACAGCGTGATGGGCAGACTCCCCGTGCCTCTTGCACCCCCAGCCTCTCCCACCCAGGCCCATACTCATTGAGCTCACAGAGTGGTGGTGCAGCTTGACACTATTGGTGTACAGGAACTCCAGCACTGCCAAGAAGGCCTCAGCTGGCACAGTGCTCAGCACCACAGGGCTAGGCACCCCAGGGCCCAGCTCTGTACCCAGAAGTCGCTGGAAGAAGTTGCATCTACAGGCCAACAGGCACCGATGGGCAAATACCTCCCGCTGTTCTTGACCGACCACAAAGCGAACATCACTGAGAGAACAGCAGAGGGCCAGGAGAAAGGCTATCAGAATCAAGGATATGACTTGGCCTTTATCTTTGCCCACTTTGGGACTCATTTTCCTTCTCTGAATAGAAAATTCTGGATTTAGCCATCCAGCACAAAGTCTGGAAAACACAGACTCAGGTTCTAATCCCAACGCCAACCTATAGTACTTCAGGCAAGTGAGTTCTTTTCTTTTAATCAAGGTTTCTCACCCATGACATGAGATGATAATTTCAAACCCCACGGACTTGGAGGGAGCCTGTGCTTGGTCATTGAGTATCTGATACAAGTAAGGAAACCAGATAGATCCCACCTTGAGGGGAAGGGAGGTTTTTCTTGGCTCCTCCACTGGCTACAAAAGCTTTTTCAGCCCTCCTTCAGGAAGAAGAGCCTGGGGCGGAAGGGAATACAGAGTGTGTATACACTCAGGTCAGGTCACATTTTCCATCCTCATAATCACTTCCGGCCCCAACCTCTGGGTCTCAAAACAAGGTGGTGGGCAGGAGACGAAGCTTGGGCTTCCTGGAATTCCCACTACTCAGGTCAGCCTTCAATCCCCAAAGAAGCAGGGTTATAGGAGGCTCAGCCTTTGAGGGAGCACCCAGCTCTGGGGCAGTAAAGGCAGAAAGTTGCCTTTTAGTTCCCCTGATCAGCCTGCCCTCTAGGTTCACCACTAGTATCCTAAGCAAGCTGGGAGGCCCCAGGCAGCACTTTGAATTACTTCCTGTCTCGGACTCTGGCTCAATCCCTTGAGTTTTTGTTCCTTATTTGAATTCCCAGAGTAGAGTCATCTGCTCTTCTGCCTCCCTAGGGTGGGAAGCCCTAACACCAGCTGAATACAGAGAATCAAGTCTCATTTCCCAGGAATCAGGGAATAGAGGAGTCTTGTTTTCACCCCCGCTAGGAGCCTAGGGTATCAGAAAAGGGCTTTGCTGAGGTTGCACAGCAGTTCTGGGCTCCAGTCCCCACCGCCCCCACCTCTGGCTCTCAGAATATCGTGCACACTTGACTTCCGCATAGACTGAATTCGCCAGGAAGGAGGATCAAGTCCCACCTCCCCATCTCTTCTGCACATCACAGTCATGGGGGTTCAGCAGAGCCAGCTAGGGAAAATCTGCAGACAGGGCCCACCCCCTCACCTGTATCGAGGGTTGTTGATGAGGCTTCGGAGTGCTGTGGAAAAGGGTGCAGCCTCCCCGTGTACAACCAGTCCTGGGGTTTCCATGGGTGGGGTGAGGTAGGGGGAGTAAGTGGAAGGAGTGGTCCAGGAAGCCTGTTGTCTGCTGCTCAGTGAGAGGCAGTAGGTGGGAAGAAGCAGGAGGCCTGGCCAGGCTCTAGAGCTGGTAAGGAGATTGGAAAAGCCTAAGGAGGGACAAAAGCTTAGAAGTCCTGTTTGCTGAGAAACTCAAATTTAGGACAGGGCCTAGAGAGGTCCAGGTTCCTGAAGGAGACATCAGAGGTCGGTGGAGGAGGCCACAGGCTCAAGAATGGGACAGACAGACACAGGGTGGGGTCCAGGAGGGGCCAAGGCAGGAACAGCCAGTGGTTGGGGAGAAGAGGCTGGCAGCAGTTGAGGCCCCAGCTGGGAGTCTGGCCAGGCAGCAGCCTGGGTGGGAAGCCTGTGGGTTTCCATGGAAACTGGAGCCTGGCCTAAAAGAAGGCCCCGCCTATCTCCCCTGAAGGCCTAGAGAAAACTTCAGCCCTCAGACAGGCCATCAGTGGAGTCCCAGTGTTCTAACCTTGTTCTTTCTCTCCAACTCCACCGCCCCAGCACGAGGTTCAGAAAATTCAAACTCCCAGCCTCTAGTCCCTGACACGCACACAACGTCAGATCAGGTTCCCTGGCCTGGGAAATCTCCCTCAACAGGGAAAACCCACGTTCTTATAGGTCAGTTTTCAAAACCCAAACCTGGCTTGTTTGGGAAGGGGCAGTCACTCGCAGAAGGGTGTCAGGTGAGGAGGTGTCAGCTGTGACACAGGCATCACAGCCTCTGGCATCCCTGTGGGGGTGGGGGAACTGGGCACTGAGGCACAGAAAAGGTGTAGCTGGCTGAGGAAAAGCCCCAAGGCTCTTGGGTCAGCAAAGGTCATGAGGCCAGAGGGAGTCTGGGTCACTGCCAAAACAACGCTGCTGCGTCAGGCCTAGCTCCCACCAGCTGAGCCTCTGGGTTTCCCCTCCCCCGCACACAGCCCCAGACTGAGGAAGTCATCCAAGCCGCACCCTAACTCAGCGCCCAGAGCGGAAATGTTTGTCCTTGTTGATGCTGATGGGGAGATGTTAGAGATATGACGTGCTCCTTCCTGTGGGCCCAGATCTTGGATTCCTGAGCAGCCACCACTGAAGTCTCAAGTCTCCCCAAATCCCAGTCTCTGAATTAAGAGTAAAGCAGCAGTTTTCAAGCCATTTCACAAGAAGACAGATGGGTAGGCTCTCAAGAGCCCTTTCTGGCCAAAGCCCTTTTTCCTTTCTGCCCTCAATCATCCCCATTTTGGTAATTCATCCCTGAGCTTCAAGTCCCTGTTGTTACCCTCTCCCCTGATGACTCAAGCAAACGACAGCCACCTGGTACTCTCATCATAGTGGTAATATTCAAAAAGTTAAGCCAAAGCCAGGACTGGAGGGAGGGAACATGAGGGAGGAGTGCTTGCCCCAGCAACCCATGGCAACTCCACAACAAATTGAGAGGCCCTTCCCTTCTTGCCTGCCCATCAGGCCAGCAGGGATAGGGCTGTGAAGCCAAGAAGAGAGCTTGGAGACCAAAATCTTGTAGGTGACTCAGGTGCCTGAGGGAGTTTCGGGAGAAGAGGGCGGCCATCCTAGAACTGATTCTGGAGGAGGTTGGACCAGAAGAAGCCAAAGCAGAGGGCAAGAGAGTTTCTGAGTCACCCACCAGCTTCCAGCCACAGCTAGTTGTCTGGGAGATCCTGTGCCAGCCACCCTAGGAACAGGTAAGGGTAGAAGATGACTGGATTCAACATCCTGGGGCCCACAGGATCTGTGTGGTTTAAAGACTTGGGTCTGACCATCCCTCCTTCTGGTTAGAAGTTACCAGCACATGCCATATATATATTTCCCCTTCTGCTGGCCAAGCCAGGTGGGAGAAAAGAAAATGTACTTAGAACTCACCTAAGTAACTTCCATAGTGCCCAAGGCAAAGTGGAGCTCAGAGAAGCAGGGATTTGCCCAAGATTATGCTTAAGCGGCATACCTTTCTCCCCTACTATGTCCTTAACAACCTTTAATCTTCTAAGCATGGGGCCCCTAAGCACCCAGGAATCAACACAACCCTAGCTATTTGATCCACTTACTGCAATAACACAGTTATTTCTTAACACAGTGAAGAAAGGGGTACCCGTTACCATGGAGTGATTTCTGACTCATGCAACCACCCCCATAGGATTTCCAAGGCTGTAATCTTTATAGAAGCAAACTGCCACATCTTTCCCCAGCAGAGTGTCTGGTGGGTTCAAACTTCCAACCTTTTGGTTTGAAGCCAAGTGCTTAATCACAGCAGCACCAGGATTCTTTCCTTGATATTGAGTCTGAGATTGGGTGGTGTGTGAAGATGGCCAGGGAGGGCCACCCTGCCTAAGACTAGGTCTTCCAGTTGGCAGGTCCATGGCTGGCAAGTCTCTGCCCTCCGTAATCCAAGAAGAGAAGACCGCCAAAGACCCGGGGCCAAAAGCACCACCAGTACGGCCCCTAGGCCGCCTGCCCAGCATTGGTGAAGCTCGACCCGCAGGTCCTGGTCCAGGTCCTGCCTCCCGTCGTGGCTCTGTGCTGGGCCTGGCCACGTCCTTCTCACGCAGAAGCTCACTGGTGGGACCTGGTGCAGGTCCTGGGGGTCGGCGACCATCCCTGGGCCCCGTGCCCCCTCTAAGCTCCCGTATCAGCTTCTCAGGTCTTCCCCTTGCGCCGGTCCGCAGAGTGGCACCCTCTTACCGCACAGACCCAGCGCCAGGAGAGCGTTGGCAGGCTGCACGTGTGCAGCGTGCCCTAGAGGCAGCGCTGGCTGCAGGGCTGAGCAACGCGTGCTACTCAGGCTCAGAGGCTGGGCCGCTGACTCGGGAGCTCTGTGAGCAGGTGCGCCTGCGCCTCCGTGAGTTCAGCCCTCCACGCTACAAGCTGGTGTGCAGCGTGGTACTGGGCCCGCGCGCTGGTCAGGACGTGCTTGTGGTGAGCCGTGCGCTCTGGGATGCAGCACGTGATGGGCTGGCCTCTGCCGCCTTCACCAATGCCACGCTGTTTGCCGTGGCCACCGTCCACGGGCTCTATTGCGAATGAGGAGGCCTCCAAGTTCTGCAAAACGGTTTATTATCCCTGGAGGAAGCCCTCCTCGGGGCTCACATCCCAATAAATAAAAGTCTGTTAATAAATAAAAGTGGTCCATAAATAACGCCCCCTAGCTAGGGGCTAAGGCTCAGGCTTATTTTGAAGAAGGGTTAGGCCAGCTGCATCGAGGACAGGCAGCCACCAACCCCAGGAAAGCTGGTCCCTGATTCCCTGAGGGATTCAGCCCAGAGCCCCTGGTGAGGCACCAAAGGGAGGAGGAGGGTCACAAAGGCCTGAGGGCTTGTATCAGGGTCTGTTCTGCAGGTCGGAACTTAGGCGGGGCTGCGGTCCCGGAGCAGGCACAGAGCATAGCGGAGCCGTTGCCGTAAATCCGGGGAGCAGCCTAACTGCCGTAGGTGAGAAGCCAGGTAAGTACAAGCACTGCGATTTCTGGCCACAAAAGTCACCAGGAGAGGCTCCCAGCCACTGAGGATCAGCTTGGTGTGGTCTCCATAGAAGTTCACCTGAGCACAGGAGGGCACATAATCAGGGCCTCAGCTCCTGGATCAGCCTCTTCCTCAGCACCGTGGGGCTCCCAGACCTCGGACCCCACCTCTCACCTGGACAGTGCCATCACTAAATAGCATGAGTAGGGCCTGATCCGTCTTGACCCACTGCAGCAGCAATGGAGGCGCAAGCACCTCCACTTCTTCCACACTGGGTAGATCTCCACCCTGGAGATAGGAGCAGGTCAGTGGTCTGACATGAATCAGGCCCCATCTCCATTGATGCTTCCCTTAGAGATTCAGCCTGTAGCTTGGAGCACATCTCCCCACCCCACCAAGGGCATGTAGGCTCTCCATATACCCTGCCCCAGCTCACACACCTTCATGAGGTGCTGTTCCATGTAAGTGGCGAAATATCTCAGGATGCCCAACTGAGGCTGCAGGGCCCGGGGCACAGTGCCCACAGAGAAGGAGAAGTGCTTTGTGCTGGTGGGGTTGTAGTGCACAGTCCTGGGGACAGGGGCAGAGGTCAGAGGGAGCCCTGAACCAACACTCCTCCCCTGAGAGCCCTTAAGCCCCTGAGCCCAGGAACACACACCAAGATGCAGTCCAGTGGCACCCCATGACAGCACTTACTTTCTGTTGGCTGACAGAGCCATGTGTGTGCCATCATTGAAGAGCACAGCCACGCGGCGGCTGGAGAGTTGGTACCCAAAACCAAACTTGTTGGAGTAGTCAACCCACTTGCTGACCCACACTAGAGGCTCTGGCTGTGCCAGGGGGGCCGGGTTCTGTTCCGCTGTTACAGAAGGGAAGGGAGTGAGGACCTGCTCCTGGCTTGCCAGCCAAAGAGCTCCCACCATCATTCTCATGTACTGGATCCCAGCCTTACCTGGAGGCATGAAGGCCACACAGTTTCTCAGAGCACAGAGGGCTGACTCCACCACTGTAGCCACAGTCAAACCTTCTTCAAACCCTGGAGGAAAAAGTGCGGTAGGAATTAAGCATCAGTCCCCTAAGATCCAGGCCATGTCCCTCTACCCAGTCCCTTCATCTGAGTCTGTGTCTCAGTACCAGCAACTTCTCTCTCTGGCTCCTCACCATCTCCACTGTTTGCTAGCGTCCCCCTGGGTGAGCTGTCTTCAGGTGCTGTCTCCACCAGGCTGACAGGTGCTGGACCAGAAGCTGCTGGCGCCTGAAGGGTTGGAGAGGGGAAGGAAGTACAACAAACCCTGAAATACAGATCCTGGAAGCCCATGGCCCAGCCCTGCCTTGGCTCCCAGGGCACCCCAGGTCAGCCTCTCCTGGCTAATGAGACACAGCCAATTAGGCCACCACGAGGCTGGATGCTTCACCAGCCTTTTATCCAGGCTTCCTGCAGCTACAAGGGTGGGGTGAGTCAAGGGACACTGCCCACGTGAGCACCTCACCTGGGGCCTGGCATCCTGATGGCCAATGGATGTCCTCATGAGGCCACTCACCAAACAAGAGACTTCATCCCGCTCCTCAGGATGGTTCTTACCTGGGGGAAGACAGAGAATTGGGGTGGTAACCTTTAGTGTCCTACCTTGCTTCTGGCTTCCCATGGGGATGACAGAGATAGGCATATCCAAATGCCCATACAATACTCTCCCAGGAGTTCACAGGCCTCCATACCATAGGTGGAAGAGCCCTCCCCATACTCTACAGCCACAACCTACTGACACCCCAGACTCACCCTTCTTCTTCCTGCCAAAGAGGCTCTTGGTAACTTTGGCAAAGAGACTCCTAGCTGGGTTGGGGGGTGTCAGGTCTGGGACTGTCATGCAGCTAGTGACAGGAAGCCGGTCAGGAGTATAGCCCTGAGGAGGTGAGCCAAGTGAGCAGAGAAGACAGACTGGTGGGGGCAGGGGGGCGCTCCCATCACCACTCAATCCCCTAGGAATGCACAGATTGGACTTTAGTGTGCAGGGAGCCACAGACCTTGGTAAAGAAGTCATGGCGTAGGATCTGGTCAATTGAGGGGCGGTCTCGGGGTGAGGCCCGTAGAATGGTGGCCAGCAGCTGCCGGGCGGGCAGTGAAAGGCTAGCGGGTAGGGTGTAGTGAACCTGCTTGATGCAGCGATATGTCTCCTTTAGGTCAGCTGTCTCAAATGGGGGGGTCCCACATAGCAGTGTATACCTGTGGGGCAGCAGGAAAGAGGTCAGGAGTCAAGTGGAAGGTACGCCACACACCTGTACCCACCTGTCTTATCTGCCTCTGTCCTGGGACTCACATGACACAGCCCAATGACCACACATCTGCCTCAGGGCCATGGCCCTGTCTCAGCAGCACTTCGGGAGCCACATAGTTGGGGGTGCCACAGATGGTCCTGGAAGGGGGTAGGGAAGAGGGGAAAGAGGGGAAGGCTCAGTCGCAGCTCCGCAGCCTCCACCATCCCCGCCCCCGCTGTGAATCCAGACAAAGCAGCTGCCTGTCACCAAAGGCTAGAGAGCTAATGCTTGTCCTGGGACAATGGATGCCGGGTATGGCAGCTGAGGCCCTGCCCACCCGCGCCTGGTCCAGCTGCTCTGCAGGATAGGGGCAGCCCTTGACTCCCAACCCAGCCCCGTCTCCAGGGTCAACACTGAGGAACCATCACTCATTCCCCCTCCTCCTGCTGCCGTCTGTCAGGCACCCACACAGGCTGTCACGTCCTATGGTCTATGCTGTACACACATCAACACCAGCTGTCACACCCCCCATAAACACTCATCTGCCACACATTACCTGGGTCATACACACCCACCCAGTCATCATGGCCACAGCAAGGTCTTCTTACACACCCATAGGGTGTCATGTTCTGCCATTCCCACACTGTCTCACATACACATACACACACACACAACACTTACACAAAGCCTGTGGCATCTTCCCTTTGTCCACTCATAGGGTCAGTGAGACTCCACCCAGAACCCTTACACCTCCATCTGTCTCAGGAACTCAGGAGCATGTATCCCATCTGTGTCACAAAGCTGTATAGCTCTCACCCTCTCTGCCAGTGCCAGTAGCCAAGGCTGTCACCTCCACCTTCATCCGTAAACAGCCCATCACCCACCCTTCCTTCCCATCTATCAGACACTCACATCAGGGAGTCACCTTACCTCCCACACACACACACTCACTCTCATGCATTTCATCTGGGTCATATATAGTCTGTGGCCACAAGTCTCCTCAACACTCACTTCTTCCTCTGCTCTGGGGGCTCCAACCGGGCTGCCAATCCAAAATCTCCTACCTTCAGCTCCATGTTCTCAGTGATGAAAAAATTTCCTGGGGTGGTAGAAGAGTTGTTAAACACCCTCTTCCTTCAATCCCTCCTTGTCTCTCTCCATCCCGATGGCCCAAGAGTCTTACCCAGCTTGAGATCCCGGTGCAAGATGCCCCGCTGGTGCAGGTACTTGAGGCCTGAAAGGATCTGCCGCAGGTAGTAACGCACCTCTGGCTCCAACAAGGTGTGCCGGGCCTTCCAGATGTGGGCCAGGGACTGCCAAGAATCACTGCCTGAGCCCCTGGTCCTCCCTGCTTGACCCTCCCCACATCCGTGCTCCATAATACAAGAGACACAGCCCTAGCTTTGGGTCTTTAAGGCCTCTTTCCCAGCCCTATCTCCACCCGGAATCACTGCCCCTTACCTTTCGGCTGCAGAGCTCCAGGAAAATGTATATGTTGTCAGCATCCTCAAAGTGGTGCGAAAAACGCACAATGTGACGGTGCTGTAGATCTCGGTGCAGCTCAATCTCGTTTAGAATCTGTGATGAGCGCGCCGGGATAATCATTTTTCAAGGGCCCCTGTGGCACCATCTCCAACCCCCACCACCACCCTGTGTTTTCCCCGGCCTGGACCCACCTTCTCGCGCTGATGCGGTTTGGCGACACGGCTCTGTGGGATGACTTTGACTGCGTAGGCCCTGCCAGTCTCTGTGTCAGTGGCCTCGTAGCAGCGGGCAAAGCCCCCCTATGAAGAAGGACCATCAGACAGGACGTTCACTGGGTCTGGCCCATACACGTCCGCGCTCCATGGACAAGCGCCTCTGCCCGGCCCAACATTGGAAAGAAGGCCGGTGGTATCCCTCTCCCAGCCACTATCATCCTTCGGGCAGCCCCTGGCTCACCTTGCCCAACAGACGGCCTTTGAAGTAGGTGCGACCGCTGCATGGGTCCGTGATGAGGCGGCTAGGGTCCGGAGCCGGTGCCCCCGCCAGCAACTCCAGTTCGGGTCCGGGTACCGCACTTCTAGGCGGCCCGGGACCCGCGGGGGGCGAAGGCGGAGCAGCAGTACAAGTGAAGGGGCGCTGAGACAGGAAGCCGGCGGCTGGCTCCATGCGGAGGCGCGTCGCAACGCGGGCCCAGCTTCTCGGTTCCGCCCGGCCGGGGCCGCGCGTGGCACTGCCTGGATTTGCTACGCTTTGCTCGCGCCTGAGGGAGTCAGGCGTTTTTATCAATGAACTCCTGCCCCCTCCCCAATGTAACGTCATCGAGAGTACCGCCCCCTTCCTGGCGACAAGTCAGGATAAGTCACGCCCCTTCTCTGGCACCTCGACGCCCAGCCTCCTGTTCACGCCTTAAAGGCGTAGCCGTACTGCCAGTTAGCCACTCTGCATGCGCTCTCAGAATGTAGGGACTGTTTCCCGGCCTGCCCAACCCCGGAAACCGTGAGCTCCTCTAATGGGAGCTACTTTCTTTCCGCATCCTTCGGGGCGTTTGCTGAAGTTCGAGTGGGATCCCTGCACCTAGAGGCGTCTCCCAACAACTAGATGGACCAGCGTTCCAGGAGTGAGGGGAGAGGCAACGACGTGCTCACTTTTGCCGGGGCGCGTCACCAGCACTCCCGTTTTTGTGCGCGTGATCTTGAGCGCATCCTTAGCTCTCGTCTGGAGCCCCCCAGGCATAGCTCAATGATGCTCCCCTTTGGGACTGAGAGGGATTGCACATTCCTGAGCCTGTCTTGATCGGCCCCGAGGCCAATGCTGCTCTTTGCGTTGACAGAGCCCACTGTAAAGCTTTTACGATGCACTTTGTCACATTTTCTGTTACCGCTTTCCACACTCTTGAGGGGCAGACCCCGGACTCCGGCGAGGTCCCTTACTCTCTTCCCTTGAAAACGCCCATTCCCCTGGTTCAGCAACCAAACAACCAGAAGTGCAGAATGGGAACTGTTTTTTTTTCAAATGCTAGCAATGGACAATCGGGTAGCAGGTTCCAGGACCATCTGAACCCCTAGACACCTACTCAATGCTCATCTTCCCATGGCCAGATACAAATGTGGGATCTTAGCTCTTCTGGTGTGTTTACTGCAGGATCGTCAGCCTCCTGGCCTTGTAGTTCCTCTGTCCTCTGCCCTCACAGGGTACCATTCAATTACTCATTACTCAGCCATTCGGTCCTCAAAGATTCATTGCAAATACCAGTACACTGTTTTGAATAAGACTGGCCAAGTTTGCAACCCTTATTTATTTTACTTTATGCTCAATGGAAACAGAAAATAGGCAAGTACACAAACAAGATAATTGCAGATTGTGAAAAGTGCTATGAAGGAAGTAAACAGAAGAGTAACCAAAGAGTCTCCTTTAGAAAAGAGTAGCCAAGACAGTCAACAAGTATTTACTGAACACCCATTTCCTGTAAGTTTTATCTCCCAAATATCTCTGAAATTTATCCATTCCAGTCCATCAACCCTCACATCCTGGTCTGGGTCACAGTTTTTCTCGGGATTTTTGCCACAGTGCTTTGCTAATCTCATTTCCATACAACTTTGGCTGTGCAGTAGTTATGAGTCTGGCTGCTAATCTCAAGGTCAGCAGTTCAAAACAGTTCCCCTGGAGAAAGATGAGGCTTTCTGTTCAAATTTACAGCCTCAGAAACCCTATACAGGGTCACTATAAGTCGAAACAGACTCCACTGTACATAACCAACCAACCAACAGAGATGCTCAAGGGATTTCACCCAATTTCTTATCAGCCCTGTTGTTGTTGTTAAGTACCATCAAATCATATGGTGGTGGTGGTGGTGATGTGCCGTGGAGTCGTTTCTGACTCATAACGACCCTGTACAGCATTTTCGAGGCTGTAAGTCTTTACGGGAGCAGAAAGCCTCATCTTTTTCCTGTGGAACAGCTGGTAGTTTCCAACTGCTGACCTTAAGGTTCACAGCCCGATTTGTAACCACTACACTACCAGAGTTCAATGACCATGTGTAGGTTTTCCAAGGAGAGGCTGGTAAGTTTGAACTGCTGACCTTGTGGTTCAAACTGACCTTGCAATCCAGGGCTTATCCTAAAGCACCACATCAGGACTCCAAGGGCCTAATTCTCCAATCTTGCCCTTGTTGTTATTGTTGCTAAGTGCCGTGGAGTCAGTTCCAATTCACAGCAACCCTGTATAGGGTTTCCGAGGAGCAGCTGGTGGATTTGAACTTCAGACCTTGGGGTTCGCAGAGACCTCTCCCTTAATGTCCTCTAAAGGGAGACCCCAAACAGCCTGAGATGTGAGGAAATACTAGTAGCTGAGGAAGTTGTTGTTGTTAAGTGCTATTGAGTCTGTTTCGACTCATAGCAACTCTATATAACAGCTGGTGAGCTTGAGCTGTTGACTTTGCGGTTCAAACCAACCTTGCAGTCCAGTGCATTAACCCTCAGCACCACACTGAGGAGGAGGAGGAAATAAGGCACGAGGGTTGGAAGGAAGGCCTTAAACACTGTGCTGGAGAGTTTGGTCTTTATCTTGCAGGTTAGTAATTTTCTAGGGAGAATTGGTAGTAGTGGGACCAGAAAGGAAATGGGACAGAGGCATGAATAATTGCAAAAGCATTGTTGCAGATTGAATTGTTGTTGTTAAGTGCCATCGAGTCAGATTGAATTGTGTCCCCTCAAATATATGTTGTAGATCCTAGCCCCTGTATTTGTGGGTGTTGGCCAAGAATATCGAATATTGGACTGCCAAAAGAACGTACAAATCTGTCTTGAAGGAAGTACAGCCAGAATGGTCCTTAGAATCTAGAATGGTGAGACTTTGTCTTGCGTACTTTGGACATATTGTCAGAAGGGACTAATTCTTGAAGAATGAAATGATGCTTGGTAAAGTGATGTCATGTGAAAAGAAGAAGACCCTCAATGAGACAGACTAACACAGTGGCTGCAACATTGAGCTCAAACATAACAACTGGAGGATGGTCCAGGACTAAGAAGTATTTTGTTCTATTGTACTTAGGGGTCACTGACTGGATGGTACCTAACAACAATATATTTGTGCATGTAATCTCATTTGAAAATAGGCTTTAAAAATTATGTTAGTGAAGTGATACAGTGTACAAAATCAGTGTACAAAATCTCACTGCCTTCTAATCAGAGTCCTGGTGTTGTGCTGTACGATAAACACTTAACAACTAACCACAACGTCAACAATTCAGTCTCACCAGTTGTTGTTATGTGCCGTGAAGTCAGTTCTGACTCATAGTGACCTTGTACAGGGTTTCTGAGGCTGGAAATCTTTACAGGAGCAGAACGCCTCATCTTTCTCTCGCGGAACAGC